ACCAGTACACAGATAATCACTGAGCAAGTTGCCCTACTCGCCATCGGCCAAATTTGTGAATGAATCTGAACAGGGAATCTGTCCTGATGCATTCACAATGTTGGCGGACGGCGAGTAGTGCAACTACTGGTAGGTCCTGGGACTGTAGTGCAACTACTAGTGCAACTAGTTCCAGTTCCAGAAAATGAAGAGTTCCACAATCATGGCCAGAAACAGACCATTGGCTGGGTAAGGGGAATTCTTCATTTTCTGGCACTGCACCGGCATGACACAGGTCGGTCTCTTTTTAATTGTTTTTTTATCATTAAAAAATAAAATTTTTATTTAAAAAGAAAAAGCATTGAGCTTTCAGAAAACAGGAAAACAATTCACCAAAAAAAAAAAAAAAGACAGAAAAACAATACTAAGGCATGTGACTTTCTTTGTTCGCTATGCGTACATGCACGGATCGTGTTGTCGTCAACAAAAAAAAAACAGGCTGCAACAACGAAGCATCCCGTGTTTCTGGCCTTTCTTTTCTTTTCCTGGCCTTTTTTTTTTTCTTTTTTTTTTTTTGAAAAAACTACGCCACATTCTCCTCTCAAATCTTTCATCATCTTTCAAATTATTCTTTCAATTCACCTTCACTACCTACCTACCACTACTCCTAAGGCCTGTCTCTTATACACATCTAGATGTGTATAAGAGACAGGTGTGTGTGTGTGTGTGTGTGTGTGTGCATGCCTCTCGAGTCTCTCTCCCTCACAACCTCACACTGGACCTGGCTACGGCTATGGCTCTGGTTACTCTCTAAAGGTGCCCAGCGCCGTAGACTACTACTACTATAGCAGCCACTGTCCATGCAACACCACAAGTCGCAATATCTCCAAATGGCGCACTTTGCAGGGAGCAAAAATAGCGCAGCAGCACTTCCGCACACAAGTGGTTATGTGTTGACTGATTCCCCCACCCCCCCGCTGGACTTGTCTACTTGACAATTCCCCTTCCTGACCGCAGCTACCGGTTATGGGTCCAGTGCCCTACCTATGTTCGTCGCTTCCGGACGTTCGTGGACTTTCCAGGGCCTTTGCTGCTGCCTCAAGTTCCTCAACTGACTGACATGATCTTGCTAATGACCTCTGCTGACTTTTTCCGACCCATCACGGTTACCGACGACCAGGAAGGTCCTAAGCATTCATTGAAATAATAATAATAATAATAATAATAATAAATTGTACACGGCCTAGTAGTACTACTTGAAGCTAAGCCACCTACCCTGCCTACTGACTTCTGCTGACTTTTTCTGACCATGGAGAAACTCGTAGTCGGCACGGGAGTCATAACTGACATCTGCTGACCTTTTTCTGACCAGTCAATGCCTAGTACTTAAAGATAACCTACCTAAGCATTCATAAATATTGTACGAGTGACTGAGACCGCGAATGGAACCACGAACTGGGACTGATCTGGAACTGGGCCTGGGACCGGGGCTGCAGTGGTGAAATCCTTTCAATATGCTTACTTTGGGCATATATATTTAATAAATTGTCATAGGTCTCTTACGCTTACTCTCGGCATACATAAATAG